GGGTTCGTTTTGTTAGTTATGATGAGACCTTACCACCAGACTTGATGAAGTGACCTGAAGGGGTAATTCAGTAACTACTGCTGGAATTTCTGAACCAGTAGAACCAGGTGTGCCGAATTTCACTCGATCAAGTCCGGTGGTAAGGTCTTATCGTAACTAACAAAACGAAACCAAACTCGTCACACCTAGTTCTACTAGTCTAGGAGTTCCATTTGTAACCACCTAATTACACCTTCAGGTCACTCAATCAAGTCCGGTGGTAAGGTCTCATCGTAACTAACAAAAGGAACCCAAACTCGGCACACCTAGTTCTACAAGTCTAGGAGTTCCACTTGTAATCACTGAACTACACCTTCAGGTCACTCCATCAAGTCCGGAGATATGGACTCGTCACAACTAACAAAACGAAGCCCAAATTCGGCACACCTAGTTCTACTCGTTCAGAAATTCCAGCAGTAGTTACTGGATTACCCCTTCAGGTCACTCTATCAAGTCCGGTGGTAAGGTCTCATCGTAACTAACAAAACGAACCCAAACTCGGCACACCTAGTTCTACCAGTCTAGGAGTTCCAGTTGCAATCACCGATTTACACCTTCAGGTCACTCCATCAAGTCCAGAGGTATAGACTCGTCATAACTAACAAAACGGAGCCCAAATTCGCCACCCCTAGTTTTACTCTGCAAGAAGTTCAAATAGCGGTCACGAAAGTACACCTTCAGGTCACGCCATCAAGTCCGGAGGTAAGGTCTCATCATAACCAACAAAACGAGCCCAAACTCGGCACACCTAGTTCCGCTCGTTCACGAGTTGCAGTAGTAGGTAAGTTTATATATCCTACTTATTTTTAGCTAAATAAAAACTGTGAGTATAAAATTAATTATTTTATCACTTGTCAAGTACTTATGTTTCCAATTTGTTTTTTTTTCTAATATTTTGTGTATGTACAGCGATCTTTTCAGAATGAGCCGCTGCAAACAGGCGATACAGTGTCCACTCACGACGGCGGCCGAGCGCGGACTGTGGTTTCATCGAAATCTTTGTACAATAAATCAAAGCAGGCACCAACAATAAAATAACCCCTATTGCAATAGATTATGATTCATCCATATTACCAAAATATGTGAAAAAATGTGCATCAGTTTTTATTTTTTTTACGACTATTTGTGACATTTTGTTAAAAAATAAACCCATTGTTTTTTAATTGAATATGTCTGTCATCTTATATTATTTTTTAAATTTTTTAAATATGTTGATAATAGACCAAAACATGTACCGAAACACAAGCCGGTATCGTTAATTTTGTAGAAAATGGCAACGAAAGTTCGTTTTTACAATATAAAAAACTACTATTTTCAACAAAAGAGTTACAGACATTTGCAGATGAAGAACCAATCTATACATGGTAGTTTTTACTTATATTTGATTTGGTTTAGTTTTGTCACAAAATCTACCGAAAAACACCCTAATTTTGGTTGATTTGCAAACGCGTCCTTAATGAAAAGCATCAATTTAAAAAAAAACGACAGGTCTGTTTTTGGGTTTAACGGTATAACTCATCTCATTGGTTTAATGACAAGCTCGTGGAAACTGTCCATGCGGTTGGAGCTAAATTCTGCAAGACCTGCCGCAGAAGAACACAAAAACTCTCCGATCACACTCATAATCTCATAGCTGTTAGACGGGAGATGAGGCTGCAATCGTCAACAGATTTGACAGCGTACAGGCAACTGAACAGACAGATCTCCAAATGCATGCGACGAGACTTATGCAACTTTAATACCGCTCGTATTAAAGAAGCGATCGAGCGGAACCAGGGCTCCAAAGTCTTTGCACGAGATCTGTTTGCCAGAAAGAGCCAACTGTCAAAGATGAAGACTGAGTGTGGCAGGATAGTTTCCGGGACACCTGAGATTTTGAGTGAGATTGAGAGGTTCTATGGGCAGCAGTACACATCATCGTTGGAGCCACACGCAAGTGTGAGTAACGATCCAAGAGCAAGTCTTACCCGCCACTATTCCGATGATATCCCGGACGTCAGTCTGAACGAGATTAGAATTGCTCTCCAGTACCTTAAAAACGGCAGGGCCCCAGGTGAGGATGGAATTACAGCGGAGCTTCTGAAAGCGGGTGGAACACCGGTACTTGAAGTCCTTCAGAAGCTCTTCAATTCCGTCCTCCATGGTGGCACTACTCCGGAGGCGTGGAGCAGAAGTGCTGTGGTCTTGTTCTTTAAGAAAGGTGACAACGCTCTCTTGAAGAACTACAGACCGATTTCCCTTCTGAGCCGCGTCTACGTGATGTTTTCGAGAGCATTACGAATCGTCTCGCACGCAGACTCGACGACTTCCAGCCTCCCAAAAAAGCTGGTTTCCGAAAAGGCTTCAGTACCATAGATCACATACATACCCTGCGGCAGATTGTACAGAAGACCGAAGAGTACAATCTGCCACTTTGCCTGGCGTATGTGGACTACGAGAAAGCCTTTGATTCCGTCGAAATTTGGGCAGTGCTACAGTCCCTTCAGCGGTGTCAAGTTGACTGTCGGTATTTCGAAGTGCTGAAGTGTTTGTACAGTAGAGCTACGATGGCTATCCGAGTACAGAACCAGAGTTCGAAACCTATCCAACTGCAGAGTGGTGTAAGACAGGGTGACGTTATATCCCCGAAACTCTTCACCGATGCGTTGGAAGACGTTTTCAAGCTACTGGACTGGAAAGGATACGGTATTAACATCAATGGCGAGTATACACTCACTCACCTTCGATTTGCCGACGATATAGTCCTTATAGCAGAATCGCGGGAGGACCTCCCTATGCTCGAAGTTGTTGACGAGTACGTTTACCTGAGACAAATAGTTCGACTAGGTAAGTTCAACTTCGACCGAGAGGTCAATCGACGAATTCAACTCGGATGGGCAGCGTTCGGAAAATTACGACACATCTTCTCGTCAGGTATACCTCAATCTCTGAAAACTAAAGTGTACAACCAGTGCGTGTTGCCAGTGATGACGTACGGATCTGAGACGAAGTCCTTCACTGCTGGCCATATGAGGACGCTCAAGGTCGCTCAGCGAGCTATGGAGAGGGATATGCTCGGAGTTTCTCTGCGTGATAGACTCAGAAATGAGGATTTCCGCAGTAAAACCAGAGTGACCGAAATAGCCCAACGGATTAGTAAGCTGAAGTGGCAATGGGCCGGCCATATAGCTCGAAGAACCGATAAGGGATGGGGAAGAAAGGTTCTCGAGTGGCAGCCTCGTACCGGTAGGCGTAGTGTAGGGCGACCCCCCACTAGATGGAGTGACGACCTGGTAAGACATGCAGGAAGTCGATGGATGCAGGTGGCTCAGGACCGTGCTTTGTGGCATTACTTGGGGGAGGCCTATGTTCAGCAGTGGACTTGTGAAGGGATGTAATGATGATGATGATTGATTTAATGGTCACAAGCGCGACTGCTTATCATGTGTTCTCGGGCTCTATTCCCGGGTTTAGCCAAAATTAGTTTTCTATTAAGAAATTCTCAATAGTAGCCCAAAGTCAGGATATTGGCGGTGTTTCACCCCTGTGTCTAAGAAAACACGTAAAGCCGTTGGCCCTTTGCCTGATCTCTCTTCGGTTTCAAGGCAAATAGGCTTTCATACGTCTTACAGCCATGCTCCAGTTATATTAGTAGTATAGTTGTAGCACGAATGGGTTATCCCGGTCGGGGAAGGATCACGCTCTCACAGAATACCAGCTTAATGCTGCCATGTTTCGTATGGTGGGTGTAGAGAACCGGAGACCCTTTTTTATGGAAAAGAGGCATTCCATCTTGATCCTCACGGGTGACAACGCATCAGTATTTTGACTTGCAATCGAGGATAGATGTAGATGTCTATGGGCCGCAGCAACGACTTACCATCAGGTGGACTGTGTGCTCGTTTGTCACCCTATCCTATAAAAAAGGCTTTTGTTCCGCTAAGACGATGCTATTTACTATTTAGGGCTGCATCACCGCTTAAAACCAGATGGGATTGTGGTAAAGCACTGGATTAAAGTAAGAAAAAAAATTAAAACCACGATATCTTTTATTTTCCACGCCCACTTCGTGAAATTTATCGTCGTCTGTAGTTTTCCGGGCCGAAGTAACTTAGTGGCATTAAAGAAAGATTGCAATTTTCTAGTGTTGAGGCTTTGGCTTTATGAGCGGTATTTATCACTTACCATCGAGTGAATTTTATTTTGTTTTCCTCCTTCTATAAAAAATAAAACTTGAACGTGAAACTCTTTCTATTATATATGAGTATGCTGTGGCTCATGTAATTGAAACGATTCTTAAAACGCGGGAATTTGTTATCACACCAACCGTTGCGAATACGCGGTTTCCTGCTGAATTGTTACAGATGATAGCAATTATTCTACCGCTCGTTAAATAACTAGAAACTACACGATGGCATATACAATTACTTTGCACTCAAAATAATAAAAATTAAGCTTTAAAACTTATATTTGATAATGTAATATATTTTTAAGACAGCTTGTACAGTTTCTTTTTTCAAAATTTCTTGAAGGGAAGGATTTTTCATTTATATTCGTATGTAAATTAATATTCAACATTTTTATACGTGATAGAGCCACGCTGCAGCTATATTATGGTTGTAGCACGAATGGGTCGGCTCGACCGGGGAAGGACCACGCTCTCACAGGACACCAGAGTAAAATAGCAGCTTAATACTACTGTGTTTCGTATGGTGAGTGTAGAGATCTGGAGAGTCTTTCTTACTGGAAACGAGGCATTCCATCTTATTCCTCAGGGTGACAATGCATCTGCGTTTTGATTCTTAATCGAGTATTAAATGTAGATGTTTATGGGCCACAGCATCCACTTACCATCAAGTGGGCTGTGTACTCGTTTGTCAGCCTTATTCTATTAAAAAAACATTTAGTCCCTTTTTCATAAGCATTAGATAGGCTACTTATAGGTATTTGTGATAAGGTTTTACAGCAATTTACTTTCACAGGTACCTCTGGATACGCATAGCTCTGTTTGAAAAACAGCTGGCGAAGATCATAGAGCACTTGGTGAACAACGCGAACAGATACTATGAGCGAGACGCGTTGGTCGCTGATCCCGATTACGGGGGCATTCTGAGCTCTTTGCTGGTTGGACCGTGTGCTTTGGAGTATTCCAAGGCAAAGGCTCCGGCATGCTTTTGGTCAGACCCGCCGGCAGATGAATTGGTAAAATTTTACTTATTATATATGAGATATGTTATTAATAGTCTTTACTTAATGTTAAGGTAATAAATAAATAATAATGTCCTCCAGACCGAATTTCGGCCACGGCGGCCTACTTCAACGGAGACTAGCCATCGGCGCAGGACAGGATTAAAGTGCCCAAGTGTATGCGCAAGCACAGGTGCACTCTCTATTCCCTCACTCTCATAATCCGATGGGACGGTAAACCGACACGACCGGAGAGAGATCAGGCGCAGGACCAACGGCTTTACGTGCTTTCCGAGGCGCGGTGATGAGACACCGCCAACTTCCTGACTCCGGGCAACTACTGAGAATTTCTTGACGGAAAAACTCAATAATTAATTTTTTGGCACGACCCGGGATTCGAACCCAGGACCTCATTGATCAGCAGTCGTACTACTACCACCAATAGACCAACGAGATAATTGTAGCTGGTAGTAGCAGTTAGTAAGTAAGTCGTAATCTGAGGTTGCCATTTGGCTGCCGGTGCTGGCGGCTATCCTATATGCGGCGAGGTAGGAATACCATGGGCGGCGCCTAGTTGATTCAAGACCGGTTCGGCCACGGCGGCCAGTCTCAAAGTAGACATAACCCGCCCTAGCCCCTGCGAGGCGGATATGCGTAAGCATTTTCCCGTGTAAAAAAAGGTAGTAAGTTAAGGACTGGCCGATACGACCCTTTTCTTATTGGTGACCACTAAATAAAAAAACAGCGCGCTCACCCATTGTGTTCCGGTTAGAACGGCAATTCAGTATGATTACTGGTTGTGAAGCATTTTTCGCTTTCATTGAGTTAAGTTGGTTACAGGTGACCATAAAGTAGCCACATACTATCGTGGACTGTGAACTCCTTTGTCATTCTAAAATTATATTAATACGTACTTACTCCTCACTGTGTGGTCTTAAATAATTTCTTCCCGGCTGAGTTTCAGTCTCGGCGGCCAGTCTTAACGGAGACAAGTCATCTGCGCAGGACAGGATTATAGTGCACGTGACGGGCTTGTATAGTGCACGTGACAGGGTTGAATAGTGCACGTGACAGGGTTGAATTAAAATTGAAACGACCAGCGAGAGATCAGGCGCAGGAACAGTGGCTTTACGTGCTTTCTAAGGTACAGGGTGTGAAATACCGCCAACTTCGGGCTGCTACAGAATAACCAATTATTGATTTTAGCCCGACCCGGGCAGAATTCGACCCCGGGATCACATGATCAGTAGTTACGCTTACATATTCATTTGTATTCGTTGTATATTTACGTTTTTTATATACTCATAGATTCCGGGTATAGGTATGTCACAAAACCTTGTAAATAAGTAAAAAATAGTTCCATAAAACCTTGATTGTCAAATAATATTTTACGCGTCGCCGCTAGCTACGCTCGGTCTGTTTAACGTGCGCGTCCAAGCATTGGGTGCGTTTGGCAAAAAAAAAGCGCAAGCAAGCGCTTGTAAGCAAAATGGCGATCGTAAGCGGTAAGCGCTGTCAAATCATAAGTAGCTATTTTCCTTCAGGACACGATGTTAGTTTTAACCGGGGAGCCTAACCTAATTTAAATATATATTTGTAAAGTATTCATATTAAAAACTTACCAATCATGAATTTTTAATAACATGTATATGTTTATTCATGTCATTATATTAATGAATACTAATATTGCACAAAAAAAACTTATAAACTCTACTTCAAAACAAACAAATTAAATAAGCAAAATGGCGGATTGTGTCAGCGCTACTGAAGTAGCAATCGTGTCCTGGCCGAAAACTATTTCAGCGCTTATAAGCGCTTGCTAGCGCTTTTTTCTGCCAAACGCACCCATTGTTTGCTCCTTGGCTGTGTTAGTTTTTAAAAGTACCCTGTATAATAGTATTTTGTTTGTTCTAAAAATAAAAATTGCTAAAAATGTGTAATTATACATTTTTAGCAATTTTTTTTTAACTGAATGTGTTTGAGTGAAATTGATTCGATATATTAGTGTACGCCTAGGATAAGACTATTATTTGTTTGTATTCGTTTAAACTTTCTCGTGTAAGTGAATTGTTGTAAATTCTTATGAAAAATAAAGATATCTCAAACCTTAAATGAAAATTATCATGGGCATTTATTTACTTCTATGGAAATTCACTTCTATATAAGTTATATTATGTTGTAATGTTTCTTCATAATAATAGAAACAGCGGTATATTAAATCTTTATCACTTTGTCATAAAAGGTACAGAGGCATCGTATGTCAGCTGGAACGACTACACCGCCCTCAGTGAGGCGACCAATCCTAAACTTCAGGCGAAGTTTGAACGCTTCATCGGATGACACTGGATCTTCTAACACAGGTGAGATGGAGATAATCAAAACATTTGCTAAATTCTTGCCCTTCTATGTACTAATTACTATAACTAGTTGGTCTGCTAGCATTATTTTAGTGTTTTGCTCAATGGTTGAAAGTATGTAACAATTATGATTTTGCCATAAAGTATGTAATACAATTTATTCGATTTATTGTTATTAATTGTTAATAAGTAGCTGACCAAAAAGATGTTGTTCTTTTCTCTCCAACGACGTTTTGTCGAATAAAAAATCCTTAAATACGTAATAAAAAATATTGAGGGTCAATTATCGGGATAAAAACTATCACATCTCTCAAGTTGGACTAAAATGAACATAGTGTGCAATATTTGATTGAAATCAGTTCAGTATTTTAGGAGTTCATCACAGACAAATAATTTGACATATAATGTTTACACAAAAAGGTAATAAAAAGAATCTAGAGAACATTTGAATGACGTGAGGAGGAAATGTATTTAAAAATCCCTGTACTGTGTGTGAGGTAAATAATGATCACTACTAACTATAGTTATTAGAGACTTTAAAATTAGCATCCAAGTAGGTAATTATAAACATAATTACCATAATTTCCAGTCAAATATCTAGTGTTGAATAGTAAGGATCATTAATTTATCTACAGAATATTCATTAATAGCAAGGATTAATAATTTCTCTCTAGAATATTAATGTATCGCTTTAACAGATCAACATCGAAGTAATTAATTCCATACCACGAATATCGGATCAAACTTGATATTTGCATCTATTGTTAAAGCATTTGTAAACTTATGATAACATCACAAACAAAAGGGTGGAATTAAACGTTTACTGTCGATTTACATTTGAATTAATTAAGCCTGATTCCAAATTAAACAGAATTGTCTTGAATAAGTTAGAAGCACAGGTAGATTAGTTAATATTATTACTTATTTCGTATTAAAGCGTTATTTAAGGTAGAATAAAAGAGCTTGTTGATTATGTAGTGTTCTCGCGATTAAATAAGTTAGCTCTTATTCAACTAAATGCGAATATTATCACGTCGTCATCGTCATTCATATTACCATCATTATCGTTAGGCTGCTGCTACCAGGCATTGTGATTGTTTTGAGTCCATAGCTGGATATAGGACTTTCTATTATAATGTCAGCTACCAGACTTCAAAAAGTTGCTCATACTCATGCTAGTTAGGTGGGGTGGTGAGTAGAATTATTACTCTTCTGAATTATTATTGCTCGGCCACACCATGATCCTCGCGCTGCTCATCTCTCTGCTCCTCGCGCTGCCGCGATGTAGTCCGGTCTGTCCACATACTGCTTTACTCACGTAATTAAGAGGGTAGATGGGCTGCATTTTTTCCATACAAATGTATTCCCCTATTTTCTTCCTGGATAATGCCTCAAGAGTAATCGTTTTTGTTTATGAAAATCTAGATCTATTGAAGGCAGATAGATTATAAAAGGATTACAAAAATAAATATGACTTTCCAAAAACCTAACAAAAGCCCTGTTTTTACCTCCGTAATCAGATGACTACCAAAGAAATTTAAAAAGTTTTTAAGATAAAAGCAAAAACGATTGAAGCATAGATCTATTCTTCCTTTAAATTTTGATACGAAAAATAATTTAATTGGCTTAGTTTTCGAGAAGAAAACAGGGGAATACGAAACGACGATCGGTCATGGTTTTTGTAGGTAAAATCGTTTTGAGCTGCAGTTGTCGCACTCTTCGGGTGGAGACCAGAGGTGAGGGACAGCAATAGTTTCTTCAAATACCTATTTTTCAATTCCCACGCAGACCTACCTCATAATCGGGACGCTCCACACTAGATCGCTCGCGTTTGAAACACAATGAATGTTAGAGTCGCTTCCGGACCGCGCTCGCAGCCGGTCACGTCCGTCGGTCGTCGGCTTCCGCCCGGGTGGGAGAAGTACAGCGCGTCGCTTCGTAATGGGTGCACGTGCTGTGGGGCCAACTCGGCTTGCGTCAAGCCTCGAGGACGCCCCTGACCCCTCCCGGGACGTTACATACCCAACGCTGCGTTTAATCTACCATGCTGGGAAGCGAACTCCGAAGGCCCGGCATGCTGCTAGGAGAGCGTGCGCCTGTTGGTGACTTCGGCTCCGCGTCGAGATGCGTCTCCGCGGGACCTGGAAGTTACTGACCCTTCGGTAGATCCCTTCCCAGAGGCGCGAGATACGCCAACTTCTACCTAGAAATTCACCAGGCCTTAACCTAGAGCCAGGGAGGAGCACTGGAGGCCCGGAGTGCTGCTGTTAGGAGCGCACACCGGGACTCCGCGGGGCTTCGAGACTGCTGACCCTCCGGAAGCACCTACCTGGCGGCGCGCAATACGCCAAAGAAGAATACATACAATGCCGTTCTTGAACGGCTTCCAAGACCGGTCCATAGAAATGGGCTGTGAGGATTACCCGGGTAATGGGGAACACCCCGAGGCCTGAAACCTGCACTGGATACAATGCAACTGGGATAAATAATAGTAGTCCCTTGCAGACGACAACACTGAGAATGAACGTTGGAACTGTTGCAGCGTACGAGCTATTTATAATTATAGCTAATTACATCAATGTCATAAAAATATGTATACGTTGTCGTCGTCGAGATAGCTTTTGTCTGTATTTTATCTACTCATGTGATAACATGGTTGAATGATGATGACAGGTTGACAGGTACACTATTTGTGATTTTTAAATGACACGTGACGTGCTTCTGTAAGGAGCGCTCGACTCAGACTGCAGTTTGCTCGAGTGAGTGGTGTGTTACTTTGACTAACGCCCAAAAAACTGACAAAACAGGGTGCGATGGGCATGACGAGAAGCATACGTTCGGCATGATGAGTATAGTGGCCACACTACGTCTCTGCTTCCTCTCCTCGCTACTTCCCAACTTCCCATGCCATCCCTACGAGTGTGTGGCCGGGGGATTAGAGACTAGTAATAATACTAGTTTATACTTAGCATTAATTAGCTGCTCTCCGTGGTTACTGGGTGGTAGGAAAACTTTTCTGTCTATCAGCCCGCCTACGTATGTACCACCATTTTACCTATTTCTGCAGCGAAACAGCACGTATTTGGACAAAAATGACAGGGTTTGAGGCATCCTATCTTAGAGTCCTCAGAGGTCACAACGCATTTGTGGTACGTGTACGTGTACGTGTGCTACCTATGGTAGCATATGCTGAGACGGAATCCTTTTTGGCATCACATCACTCACTCTTGACGAGACTTATTTTTAATTATGCCGCACAATTTATAAACGAAATTATTATGCAAAGGTTAAAACTAATTTGAAGCTTTATTTATAAATATGGTATTTCTTTGAAAAAAAAAAAAACACCCGTCACCCCTTCAATTAACTAACATGTAATCATATATAATATAAAAAAATTACATCTGATGAAAATAAAATGCCTTACCTTCTTTTTTTTAAGTTCCGTAATCGGTTAAAAAGTATCCTGTGTGTCTATATGTTTATTTTATAGGATAGGGTGACAAACAAGCACACAGTCCACCTGATGGTAAGTGGTTGCTGTGGTCCATAGACATCTACCTCTATCCTCGATTACGGTTGCGTTGTCACCCGTGAGGATTAAGATGGAATGCCTCGTTTCTTTTAGCATCTTGTACCTTGTATGTTTTTATGTTCTTATTTACTTTTAAATGTATGTTTTGTGAGTGTATTGATGCTAATAAAACCTATGTCTATGTCATTTGTATTCTCCCTTTATCTTTATGGTTGAAGTTAGTTGTAGATGTCTACGGGCTGCACCAGATACCTACAATCAGGTAGACTGTTATTGTTTCACTTCGGTTTAAAAAAATAAAAATCTCCAAGCTTTTGGTTTTGGTTATGGCGTGTTTGAATAGATTTTCTCTATTGGTATTTGAAGATCTTAGGACCTCGTTCAGTACCACGTGCGTACAGAATACCAGCGTAAAATAGCAGCATTATGCTACTGCTGTTTTCTTATGGTGAGTAATGAGAACCGGAAATTGATTTACTGGTAACGTGGTTATCTTAGTCGTTCGGATGACAGTACATCTGTATCATTCTTTGATTGAAGTTAATTCATGAGCTAATCTTGTCATTTGAGGCTGTTCGAAAACAAAGAAACAGTTCATCAGTAATCCAATGTTCGACGGTGTTGTGAATTTATAACATTCTTCTGATATATGTGTATTCGGTAAACATGAATTTGGAAAGCAGGTTGGAAGTTTCCTTGCTCCAAAACCGAGAAGGTTTTGGGCAGTAATGGGAAAACTTTTTATTTACCAATAATAATCCAAGGCTTATTATATACTATACCTCCTTTGCATTCAGTTAGCTTAAAACATCTGTTCATTGTTGCCTTGGAGACATTCACCTGCTAATGGGATAGAAAAACAAATTCTGGTAATTTGTACGCATTACCAACAAAGTGGTAAAAACTGGTCAAGTGTCTGGTTGCTCGATGATGAAAGGGAGAGAGTGAAATAACGTTATGCAACATCAAAATTATCAATAAGCCACTTAGCTCTTTTTTCTGTTGATTTCAAAACTGCTTGGTGATATTTTGCAGCGTCAGCCAATATGGGACAGCAATAGTCCATGCACGACCAGACTTGCTCTTTAGACTAAACAGCTATCCCAGGGAGAATTAACTCACACCTTTGCAAGGACATCAAACTTCCTTGCAGTTGCTTTGGCCCTGAACTCAATGAACCACCCAAAGTTCAGGTTAAAGTAAGTTTTTAAGGGGAGTATATCAGTTGTTTCTTTACTTTTTACAGCAACGGGCAATGCAACAGGGTCCAGTGCCAAGGACTACGTGGAAAGTTTGCATCAAAACTCACGAGCCACGTTGTTATATGGAAAAAATAATGTCCGCGTACAACCGGTAGGTTATTTTGAGGACTCATGATTTCGATTGTTTAATTTTATTGATTTTGAAAAAATCTTGAATATAGTATGTATTACTCCAATAGCATAGAAAAGTTTCATATAGGTATATACATTGAACATGTTGTGCAGAAATGTTTCAACTCACAAAAACGTAAAGTTATTCGAATTTAAAAGACAAATAGATTTTTCTTAAGGCGGAAGCCGTTAATATCATGTTATTATGTTGTATGCCGTTAATATCATGTAATATTCATTTTGTAAAAAGTTGAATGTAGATTTTGGAAATACTTGTTATTCTTTCATACTTGGAAATAAAGTGAAAAACGAGGATGAGCCTCTGGATCGTCATTTTAGCAAGTTTGTGCGTTGGATCATTTCTGCCCAACACGACATTAAGTCGCCTCGTTACCATCCCTACTTTATAATTTTTACACATAAATTAATTACCCCATTTAAACCTATTAAAAAAAGGAGAAAGTTCTCAATTTATTGGATTTTTATGTGATTAATTAAAAATACCTATATATAAATAAACCTTCTTACGCTTAAAAAAAGACGTAAACTGTTAGATAAGGGACTTCTATACGATATTTTACGCGATGGTATTGACTGCCCGGATTTACTGAATACTGTCACGTTTAATGTGCAAACAAAACGTAGGCTGTACAAGAATCACCAAGAAAACTTTGTTTAGTATACCTCGTCACTCCACACTTTGTGGTAAAAATAGTATCTCAACACGTTTGCTATTAAATTATAACAAAACATTTAATACCATTGATCGCTTTATATGCAGTAAAAGTGATTTTAGAAACAAGGTACGTGCATGTATATTGAACACAGCTTTTGTTGTTTAATTTACCTTTGTTTGTAAGCAGTTACGTAGGATGCCGGTAAAGTACATTATGAATTAAACTTATTTTAGGTACTGTACATGTATGGGTGTGTACGTATATTTGTATGTATATATGTAATGATATATACTACACATACAAAATATATTATGTCATGATATAAATAAATGAATTATAAAAAAATTACTTGAGTTAATCACATATCAATTTGTCAGTAAGACAATATCTCAGTGTTAATAAACCTAAAATTACTTTATTTTATTAAGCTGTTTTAAATTGTTTAATTTCCATCGTTTTTATTTATTATAATTGTACCTAGCTTACCTTTATATTTAATATGTGGTTAACTGTTATTTGCATACTTGAAGTAAATTTGCAAATTGTATTTAGTGATATAAGCTGTTGTTATCCTTATTAAAATAAAATAAAAAATCAATGATTATAGTCTTCCAAATTGTTTGAAGTCAGGTTTTTTTTTAATTATTACGCCCTATTTTTTCCTCACTGTATAAAAATCTGATGGTATAAAATACCGAAATTAACAATATTGCCAAATCTGCGACTTTGTCAAAATGTTCACTTGTTTAAATATTATTTTTTGTTTTCAACTTTGCTGTTTGCCATTAAAAATTACTCTTATCACATAAATAAAGTTAAAGTTGTCTTACATTAAGTTATATATTAGTATTAAGAGAAAAAAAATTAAAGGAAAAATTTGCAGTAAATTTTTTTTGTACAGTAAAATTATCCTATAACTTTTGGTTAATATAGAAAGACGTTGAAGAACCGATGCCCGGCTATTTGAGTCTGCATCAAACAGCAGCTGGTCTTATTATAAAATGGACTCCCAATCAGCTAATGAATGGATACGCCGAGAGAGAAGGCCTGGATAAAAGGTAAGTAAAAATAATTACAGGTACCTAATACATGTTTCTTTTTTTACGAATTCCCGACATTGATTTTGTGTAGAATTTAAGGTATAATCGTGTGTTTCTTTTGCTGGTCTTAGTATTTTAGATTCAATCCAGATAAATGCTTAAGAATAATTCACAAACAATTCTGTTTTTTAATTTGCATGATTTTTTTATTGTTTATTAAAATTGTAAATAATTACTTCAATAACAGTTTACTAAATTTGAATTTTTTGTAAAAAGTTTGGTGCTATTCTATCTTCTGTAGTGTACTGTAGACTTTGAGTATTCTTGGTTTAATACTCAAAGACTGTAGAATGTGATTGTTGGTCGTAACTGTTTTGATTATGTAGTTTGGACTTTATTACATTAGCAGTAGATTGCATGTTTGTGACCGTGTCGTATGTGTAGCTTCCGATGCCATCTAGTGCATGCGTCCGCGTGCCAAAACAAGTGTATTCTGTACAGCATGACGGAGATATGCACTGTATACAGGAGACGTTGTGCCGGCCCGCTTTGCGTCGACTGGTATGTTTTGTTTGCTTTTGTTATTGTTTTTAATTTCTTGTTTTATTTGTTTGTCTTTCCATTACTGTTATAACTTTATACAGTTAGACGAACGTGCATTCTTCCTAGAATAATTTCACTGCTGGACGTAGGTATTTTATAAAATAGTTAGTTATAGTTGTTAAATGCACAGCCAATATCCAGTATGCGGTGATTTCCCTTAAGTTGAAAAACTTTTTTAGTTGCGTTATGGTTGCAGAGGAAGGGTCACGTCTCACGGGATATCAATTTTAAATATCTGCATAATACTGCCGTGTTTGTTCAAATCATATATAAGTGACTAGAACCGGAGTTCATGTTTACCGGTCAAGGGCAGTAACAACGCAAATGCATTTTGATCAAAATTAGAGAAAACAATGTGAAAATCTTAAAAAAAGCGATTGTCAGTATCCTAATTGACAAAGCCTATTAGCCATTAAATATTTTATTTAGTGATGATTTTTTGATACAGTGTGACAGTGTCCACATTATGATAGTCAGTAGTTATCATTTTTAAAAAATCACGGGATCAACCATTAAATAAATAATCTTTACTACATACATATTGTGGTAACATAAATAATTATTTATTACATTTTATTTGCTAATATTTCTTAAATAAATTTAAAAACTTAAATTAATAAAAAGAAAAATTGAATATTTCACTATTTATTTATGTTTGAAATATTGCACAGTCATTATTTAAACATGTCATAAATGTGCGTATTCAATATTTATACGACATAATTACATTTCCGTACATACTTAAATATTTTTTTCAAATTTTGTCTGTCTGTTTTTATATACTTACTTTAATTGATATGCAAAAAATATTGTACTTCGTGTGCCCACAAATGATAGGGACATAGTTAGACTTGATTATAATATGTAGCTAACATCTATGTAATACCTTTGATCCACGAAATAAATGATACTGATTCTTATTCTTACCCAAATCGTGGTTCTCTATGGATCTCTATGGACTCTATATGGATCTTTTATACGTGGTATAGCCATGCTGCAGTTATTTATATATATACAGTTATTAGTAGTATAGTTGTAGCGCGAATGGGTCGGCTCGATCGGGGAAGGACCACGCTCTTACAGAATACCAGCGTCAAATAGTAGTTTAATGCTGCTGTGTTTCGTATGGTGAGTGTAGAGAACTGGATACCCTTTTTACTGGAAACGGGGCATTCCATCTTAGTCCTCACGGGTGATAACGCATCTGCATTTTGATTCGTAATTGAGGATAGATGTAGATGTCTATGGGCCACAGCAACCACTTACCATCAGGTGGACTGTGTGCTCGTTTGTCACCCTATCCTATAAAAAACCTCCGCATGCACTTTCTGGACTGTGTGCTGGCATAAAATTATTTGACGAAATAAAAATAATACCGCCGGGGAAGAAATAATACACAATCATGTACTGTGTACTTTTTCTATTTATCTGTATGGAGGATTAAACAGTATGTTTGTGCTTTTAGCGTATATTGGGCGATGTCTCTACAAGTGTGCGCGTGGGAGGTTGTGTATGTGCACGTGCACCGGTCACAAGCAAGCGATGCGCTCATACTGGTCGGCCAAGATGGAGTACAACGGCCACCGATACAGTTTCCTAAAGGTGAATAAAAATCTCTTCTTGAGCCGTTGTCGATTCGAATAGTAATGTTCCTTTTAGCTAAAAATGTATCGAATAAAGTTGTCACAATTTTTATTTTTGTATTTCTGCTTATACACTGGTATTTCTTTGTTACGTGTTAGAGCCACGCTGCAGCTTTATTAAGGTCCTAGTATGAATGGATCGACTAGAACGGGAAAGGACCACGTTCTTACAGAATGCCAACGTAAACTTGCAAATTAATACTGTTGTGTTTCGTATGGTGAGTGTAAAGAACAGCATAACCTTTTTACTGGAAACGGGGCATTTCACCTTAGTACCCAGGCGTGGAAAACGCATCTGCATTTTGATTCTTAATTGAGGATAGATGTAGATATCTATGTGTGCTCTGTCACCCCTATTCCATAAAAATACTTTTACATAACATAAATGCAAATAAGGATAATTTAGATTATAATTCGTACATGTGAAATTGATAGTGCGTAAGAACAGAGGACAACTAAAAAAGGATACATAATAAATTCTGTCGCATCACTACGGCTTAATCAACCACCTAATTTGTCGGCTAGGAATTCAATTGAATGTTTAAAGAATTAATCGCTTAATGTTCAACAAAAGGACTGGACAATATTCAGTCATCTGATTAAACGACATTATTCCAGTTTGATCAAAGTCTCAGCTTAAAATTGGATAACATGAAAATAATCCAACCTTTTAAAAGTCAATTTTAAGATAGTGAAATTTTAAGTTTAAATTTGTGTTCAATTATAATTTTGCTATTTATTGACTGCGACTTTGTTGTATTTAAGTGAACAAGAAAATAAAGACCTCGGGATTACTTTTGTTATAGTAATAATATATAGCTGGATCCTTTTGGCATAACCAAGTAAAATATGTTTAAAATTTAATTAAGTTTGAATATTCATAACGTAACCTATGTTTTTCATTAAAATTGGTAAAATTATATATGCTTTTGACACCTTCTTGCGATATAACTATTATCACCAAAGCAAGAAGAAAAACTATTAAAGATAAACGCTTTGGCTTTTCATCATTTACGCTGCACTTAGACCTCACAACGATGATATTTACCATAGTTTCCCCGCGTGGCCAGCGGGTTGGCAACGCAGTTTGTTACTTTATTCAGCTGTTAGTTTGTTGCCGCTGCATAATTATCTAGTTCTGTTTGCCTGGACCGTCTCTTACGGCATCCAAGGGATGATATAGTATAGTGGATATTCTACACCGCCACTACACGGTAACAACTTTAACTTTACCGTTCCGTCAGATAAAAGTTATAACGTTATATGCATCATTGTATAGTACATTTCTAGGGCAGGCAAAAAGTACATTGACCTCAAGTATTATGTTAACATCGAAACAAAACGACAGTTATTGCTTCCATACATTTCTTAATAGATTAGGTATCGTTATGCGCTAAGCGTGTGTCATGGTACGGGGTAGGGTGAAGGAAGCGGTCATTCAGAGATAATAAACCTGTTTCGACGCGATTTGGGATAGGTCTCACGCCGTGCGTATTTCAAAAAGTGGATGAAACAGAACTCATTCCTCATTCTGCTTTGGGATGCGCTTACGTGGTAGATAGTTTGAGATTTAAAATTTTCGGTTGTAGTAGTTGTTTTAATTTTTATTAAGTTTGTTTTGTTAATTGTATTATTACGTTTTGTATCAAAGTTTTTGTTATTGTTTTGTGACGTTTTGTATATTATCACTAGTATGAAATCGGGTCCATCGACATAAAAATCTTATAAAGACTTTACGTCACCACGAAAGAAGCGGAAAGTGTCGCATATTTCGGAAACCGAAAAAATAATGATTGTAAACATCTATAAATATGTAAAAGAAACGTGGTCTACTGACGTATATCCATCCAAAACGGATATAAAAAAGAATATTTTAGGTTATAATCAATGTGACGGACTCTTCTACGTCTTCATTATCATAAAATTAACTGAAATAGATACAGATGAATAGTCTGTCAAGTGTCTCTGACAATCTATTATGAGAAGTTTTATGCATGCTTCGAGGTTGGCTGCTTAAGAATGCTTAGCATTAAAAGTTCGTCTTTTTACCTGAGTGCCTACTTATTAAAGTACCTACCTACTATTAACATAATATTGAAAATTGTAATAACTCGTGATTTATAAATAATAAATTTAAATTAATATTAATTTGCTTTTTAATTCATTTAGGTACAGGATAATCTTCTTTCTTTATAATATAATAATACACATAGGGCCTGTAAAGAACTTCGCACTCGGCACCCTTATCTTTCACTTTGATGATTTATGTAATGATAAAAAGTTAAAAAAATGAACCTAAACAAGAAAGATTGCCTACCCCGATGATATTGTCAAAGGTCAATGGCCTTTTTCCGCCTGCCCTAGAAACGTACTTATAATTCGACTAAGGTCTGACTTTTCAATCGTCACATAAAATTTATCTATTGAGTAATTTAAAACCCAGCTGAATATAAAACTGAAGCAATTGAACTATTTTATTCATAAAACTGTAATTTTTAATTTATTGTTATTGTATGTTATCTTCTAATATATAAAAATTAAAGTTTGTTTGTTCGTATTTTATGCGTTGCCATACCGTTCGTCAGAATGCGGTAGAACTTTGTCAACTAGTCGACTTAGACGTAGATCGTCTAATCGACTTATTACTTGTACTTGCGCGAAAGTTATAGGTATTACAAAAAACTAAGGTGGCACGCGTGTCGTGGCGACACGTTTGTTTGTCATATATCCATCCATTTTAATGAATGTATTTACATAGCATTCCTAATTAAACAATAATATCTCTTTCAAAATCAAAACGACATTTCCATAATTACTTCTTCTGCGGCAACAATGGGTTCTAACCAGCTAGTTCTATGAATAAATTTTATGTGAGGATAGAAAAATGAACCCTAAGAGACATTATATATCAATATTAGTGTGTTACTAACGACCTAGAAATCCAATTTTCCGGATGTTCAAACCATCAGCCATCATATAAATTTAATCCTTTTTGTTCGTAACTTATAAAAATATGACTTAAGAGACCATAATATATATATTCATATATTATGGTCTAGTAGTTGTAGTAGTGCCACTAGTGATCATGAGGTCTCTGGTTTGGATCTCGGGTAAGGCCAAAAAATGATCAGTTACTGAGTTTTTCCATCAAGAAATTCTCGGAGTCAGGAAGTTGGCGGTGTCTCACCCTCGTGCCTTGGAAAGCACGTAAAGCCGTTGGTCCTGCGCCTGATCTCTCTCCGGTCGTTTCGGTTTACCGTACCATCGGATTATGAGAGTGGAGGAATAGAGAGTGCACCTGTGCTTGCGCATACACTTGGGCACTATAATCCTGTCCTGCACCGATGGCTAGTCTCCGTTAGAGCTGGCCGCCGTGACTGGAATTCGGGCTGGAGGACATTATTATTTAATAAACTTGTTATTTTTATAGGAGGACACCTGCTATCTTTCTTGAGTAACTTTGAAACTGGACTATTACCCCATGGTCAGTTGGATCCACCCCTGTGGTCACAAAGAGGATCTGGCAAGGTATTTGTTGTATTATAATGCATTATAACGTAACATTATTCTTAAGGCGCAAGTCGTATATCTATTTGCAGAAGTCTTACAGACACACCCTTGGCCTTTTGTTTTAAGTACAAACGCGTAATATATGTATTACTTTACTGTTTTTTATTTAATTTTATAACGGTGCATGTCATAGCTACCTTTATTATATACATTGTATGAAATTATTTTTATACGTGTTGAAGCAACGCTTCAGCTATGTTTTGACTTTAGCACGAATGGGTTGGCTCCACTGTGGAAGGACTACGCTCTCACAGAATACCAGCATAAAATAGCATCTTAATGCTGCTGTTGTTTCGTATGGTGAATGTAGAGATCCGGAGACCCTTTTTTATTGGAAACTAGGTATTCCATCTTAGTCCTTAGGGATGACAACTCATCCGCGTTTTGATTCTTAATCGAGAATAAATGTCTATTGGGCCACAGCATCTACTTACCATCAGGTGGACTTTGTGCTCGTTTGTCACACTTATTCTATAAAAAAAGAAACAAATGTGAGGCTTCAACTTAGTCGTAAAATAGTTAATATATTTGAGAATGCTCTCTTGACAATACTTATTTTATTGGTGACTCAAAAATCAATAAATAGGTTGACTGCTGGTGGATAGTTGTTGCGCTACAGTAGACCGTACAGTACAACCACTTACCATCAGGTAAATAATGTTATGAAAATATTTGTATGTTTTTCCCGTACTATTATTCAGATCGATTACGTGATAATGAACATCCGACAACTTTCATAGTCTGATAAGTTATTTACTTCCTGAAGTAATAATTCACTGAGTAATGGAAGACAACGATGATGGTGTAGTTCCACATACGTACGTACGGTTTGAACAGATATGGGATTCTAAGGAAGAATAACTAAGCGCCAGGTGTCGATGACACACCTTCGAACTTGTGGAAGTATTAAGTTACAGCCTATATACGTCCCACTGAAGCACAGACTTCATTTCTGAGAGGGTTTTAGTGCAAGGAAATGTCCGCCGCGCTGCCCCAGTTCTCACGATGTGACCCTGTGGGAGTTTTGTAGAGGAGTAATCTAATCTAATCTTTTAATAGTCATTCATTCTAATCTTTTACAACGCAACAATTTTTCCACAGCTCCGAAGTTACGTCAACGATACCTGGTGCTTAGTTAGTTTAACACAGATTAGATTAGATTACTGAAACAGTATAAACAATAAGTTGTATGAACGGTAAAAACAATATGAATTGGCGAAAAACAACGAACTGTTGACCAAAAGGTACAGCTTTCAGAAAGAAATGTAAACTGACGCTGAATATTTTCATAAACTACTATACGTGATAGGTAGTTTCGTGTACCTACTCATGGTGATGAACGTGAAGGAATCCTGAGAAATCATCGGTGGGGGTCCCACCGAACAACTAGGTGGAACCGTGTACTGGCGATGTAAGAATATCAACTCCCCCATATTATACCGTGGGTTGTCGTAAGAGGCGACTGGGGGAAGAAATCAGGAGATGAGCAGCAGCGTCTTCCTAATAACGACTAAAACTAAAAAATTGCGGTTGCCAGGCGTGGCAACTATGGCAAACATCCTCCCTATGAGACAATCTATGGGGGAGGCATTATGTTCACCAGTGAACTTTAATAGGCTGTAACGGACCTTATGGAAGCCGACCTTATCAAACTTACGAAAGACCGCACAGTCCAGGGACTTTGACATGATCTCGTATCCAATTCGGGGTCACTGCGAATAAGTGAATAAGTATTTTGTTAAATTTAAAAAAAAAATAAGTTACAGCCTATATACGTCCCACGGCTGGGCATAGGCCTCTTCTCATTTCTGAAAGGTGGTTTGGGGCGAGGAAGTGTCCGCCGCGCTACCCAATACGTGTTTGCGAACTTCACGTCTTCTTAATCATTTATTTTTTATATCTCAAACATGCAGGTTTCTTCACGATGTTTTCCTTCACCGCCGAGCACGTGGTAGATCAGCACTTAAAATTGAAATTAACAATTTTATTGATGCTGACGGTGATCGAAACTGGTTTTCTCGCGTACTTTGAAATTTACAGAGAGCGCTAACCATTTGAGCTACCACGGCTTGCATTTAGGTATTTTGTTAACTTGTTCTTATTTTTAGGTATTTGGTCGGGGTAAAACTCGACGGCGACCAATGCCAAGCCTCTGTGAAAGTGGAGAAACGGAGGAAGTCGACTGGGAAGAAGCTGCTGGGGATTATGTTTTTCGAATTGTCAATAATGCAATTGCTGATAGAGAGGGTAAGTTCTACAACAGACGCATATTACAATAGACGAGTCTATCGTTTGAACTTCAGAAGAAATATGTACATACATACGTAAATTCTCATGCCTGTTACCCAGACGTCTAAGACGTCCCTTGCCAATTTTGGTAATCTCTTGTGCGGCATAAATTTGCTTTGTCACTATTTCCTTACTCATTCTTTCTACGTATCCAAACCACCAAAGCATTATTTTCTTAATCTTATATATATATAAGAAGAAGAAAGGTAAGAACTGCCAGGGGACATTCAAAACAGCCTATAATGAATGCTATAAGAGACGAGAATGGCTATATTCTGAATGATGAAGTTTTGAGTTTAAAGAGATGGAAGGAATATTTTGAAAGCGTGTTTATGAGTGAGGAGACAACGTGTGTACTAAGTGAAGTAGAAACACCGAAAGAAGAGGAAAGAGGTAGCGAGATAAGTATAGATGAAATAATGAAAGCAATGAAAAGCATGAAAGCAGGTAAGGCTGCCGGATATGATAGAGTTTCACTCGAAATGCTAAGGGCTGGAGAGGAAGTGGTGGCAGGCCTGCTGCACACCTTGTTTAATTTATGGTGGGAACTGAAGCGGGTACCGGTAGACTGGTGCAAAGCCGTGATAGTCCCAGTATATAAAGGAAGAGGGTCGCAGCAGGACTGTAAAAACTACCGTGGCATCAGCCTTCTTAGCATTGTGGGAAAACTGTATGCTAAGGTACTGATTGAAAAGGTCATGAAAGAAACTGATGGAAAAATTTGGGATGTGCAAGCGGGATTTAGAAAGGGAATGGGATGTACAGATCAAGTCTTTTCCATGCGCGTGGTCGCGGAGAAGTTTCTGGCCAAAAACCAAAAGGTTTTTTGTGCGTTCATGGACTTGGAAAAGGCCTATGACAGAGTGGATAGATATTTGCTATGGCAAACACTGAACTCATTTGGGTTGAGCGCTGGCTTGATACAGGCATTGGAGTCTCTTTATAGGGACTCTAGTGCTTGTGTTAGGATTAACGGGGTCTACTCGGACTGGTTTGACATCCATAAAGGTGTCAGACAGGGCTGTGTGGCTTCCCCGTGGCTGTTCAACCTATTTATGGACAGTTGTTTGCAAAATTTGAAAGTTGAATAATGCGGATTAAGAATGGGTGAGTTAACCGTCAAATGCCTTTTGTACGCCGATGATCAAGTCATTCTTGCGTTGTCGGCAGCCGAGTTGCAAATGATGGTTACATTAATGAACGGATCATAAAAGAAAGGGGTATGAAAGTGAACGCAAGTAAGACGAAGGTTATGGTTTTTGAAAGAGAAGAAAGTAAAACGATTTGTGAAATAAGAATAGAAGGGGAGTTGATCGAGCAAGTAGATGAGTTTGTATATTTGGGCTGCGTATTTAGCAGGGATGGGAGATATGATAAGGATATAGAACGACGAGGGAATGCGGGAAATAGAGTAAATGGGGCCTTGCACTCTATTGCGAAGAGTCAAAATGTGTCGAAAAAGGCGTGTATGGCAATTCACAATGCTGTGTTGGTGCCTACTTTAACGTATGGTAGTGAAAGTTGGGTGTGGCAGAAGAAGCACGAGAGTAGAATAAACGCAGTAGAAATGCGGTCGTTAAGGAGTATGTTAGGGCTGAATCTGAATGACAGGGTAAGAAATTGCGTAATAAGAGAAGAGTGTGGTTTGCAAGATGATGTTGTGACCAGGATTAAGAAAGGAATGCTTCGGTGGTTTGGTCATGTGGAAAGAATGAATGAGGAAAGAGTGACAAAGAAAATTTTTGTTGCAGAAATGAATGGCAGAGTCGGAAAGGGACGTCCTAGGCGAAAATTTATCGACCAAATTGGCGATTTATTGGAAACGGGCCAAATTAGGAGTACCCTTAACCGACGAGCATGTATGCGTAGGTGTATGGATGTGAAGGAGGCGAGAGAGGTGTGTCAGGATCGTGCCAAATGGAAATCTAGGTAGGTAAGGTAGGTAAGTAGTCTCTGCCTACCCCTCTGGGTGACAGGCGTGAGTGTTTGGTCTTCTTATACATTGATATAATATGATCATGATGAAATAAATTTTCAATAATCACCACGCTAAATAAGCTAGTTGGAGGACTTTATAGCTTTGATACTACTTGACTATCAACCTAAATTTTCTAAACAATTTTCTGGTTAAAGGATAATCCTTTGACATTGACATTGTATAGCCAACAAATAATTGTTTATAGTCGGGATGTTTGTCCTTGTGCAATTTATGTATTTTAACAGCCTCCACGATACACTATACAGGGTTATTTTGCAATAACTGATCACATTTGCAGAAAAGGTTCAGAATAAGTAATATAGGCAAGTGGTGAAGGAAAATTCATTAAAATAAGTCTCAAATATTCTGTCCTTTTATATTCAAAAATAAAAATGCTTGGTAATGCATTATTTTAATGGTTTATTGTAACGGTCGATAGGTAGGCAAAAACGTTGATGCCCATAAATCACATTTAATTTGGGATAATTTGAAATAAAAGTAGAAAAGCCTTATTTACTCGAATTTTTAAAAACTGCATTAACGGTATATCATTATTTATGTATTTGAGCTTAAATTTAAAATTTGGCTGCTTTTTGAAAAACGACCCTGTATATTAACCTTTCCTTAAACATAAATAAATAAGAAGAATCTGCCTCATTTCGATTTTATTCAAATGTACTCATTCAAAATCACAGATATTTGTTAGCGTTATTGCTAAATAGGTAATTTAAATTTAATAATAATGTTATTTCTTCAGCGATGCGACATTCCTTGCTAGAACGCGCGATACAGTCACCACCGAGGACACCACGACGTCCTCTTGCGTCAACGTCTACGACATCTTCAGACTCATCTACGATGTCTGTTGATTATCCTCATTCTGTCGGTTTTAATATTCAGCCACCGCTGATACCCGCTCAATTGCCTCCCGTCGAAGTCGAACAAGTGAGTGAAAGTAACACATTTCTTCTACAAAGTATTAAATGATTATAAGCATCTTTTCAAGTAAAAATATTTATAAAATCTCCTAAATTAGTTTTATGTATAACATTTTTGTGATGAGTTGTGAGCACCGCGGACCTTTTTTTGTGATAATAAGGCATATTATCTTAGTCTATAGGTATAAAAACGGATTAGAATTTAGATTCTCAATCGATGATAGATGATAGATAGTCCATGTACCGTTGGCTGATTTATATATGTCGTGTGGTGGCAGCAATAAATAATCCATAACCTTATTCTTGTGGGTGTGGTAAGAGACAGCTTCCGATAGAGATGGTATAACCGCCTCGTGTTATATGTGTATATAAATCATATGTGCGAACCCCTGGCTGCAATCGTCAAAAGTTAATCCGCTTCCAAGTTTGATAATTAAGGCAAATCATCCATAAAACGAGTTAGGCCGATGTCCATCAGTGTATGTGCGTATAAATCATATGTGCGAACCCCTGGCTGCAATCGTCAAAAGTTAATTCGCTTCCAAGTTTGATAATTAAGGCAAATCATCCATAAAACGAGTTAGGTCGATGTCCATCAGTGTATGTGCGTATAAATCATATGTGCGAACCCCTGGCTGCAATCGTCAAAAGTTAATCCGCTTCCAAGTTTGATAATTAAGGCAAATCATCCATAAAACGAGTTAGGCCGATGTCCATCAGTGTATGTGCGTATAAATCATATGTGCGAACCCCTGGCTGCAATCGTCAAAAGTTAATCCGCTTCCAAGTTTGATAATTAAGGCAAATCATCCATAAAACGAGTTAGGCCGATGTCCATCAGTGTATGTGCGTATAAATCATATGTGCGAACCCCTGGCTGCAATCGTCAAAAGTTAATCCACTTCCAGAAACAGAAACAAAAACTTTTTTATTCAATGTAGATTATAAACAATACTTATTGAAAGTCAATTTTTTCATTTACCACTGGTTCGCAAAAAAAAACCTCTGTCCTGGGAAGAACCAGCAAGAAACCCAGCGGGACTATTTTTTTTTTCAAATAATAGCTTACAATCATGTTTACAATTAACAACACAAGACAAATTAGAAATAGCTTGGTAGCGATCACCCGTCCCAAGGGTTATTATCATCCATAAATTCCTTAATATTATAATAACCCTTTTTATACAAACTTAGTTTAATAAAATTTTTGAAGTTTGATAATTAAGGAAAATCATCCATAAAACGAGTTAGGCCGATGTCCATCAGTGTATGTGCGTATAAATCATATGTGCGGACCCCTGGCTGCAATCGTCAAAAGTTAATCCGCTTCCAAGTTTGATAATTAAGGCAAATCCTCCTTAAAACGTGTTAGGACGATGTCCATCAGTGGATTCTTAGGGTTCATACACACTACGCGATTACCCGCGATGCGATCAACTGCATGACCGCATTGCGCATATTTAATTTTTTTCAACTACTTATTAATTAAAAACTCTTATTATTTTTATGAGTCTTTAATGACCCATGATCATAAATGCTCAAATTTATAAAAAAGTAGAGTCTAGATAAATTTCATACCTGGTATATGCTCACCTCTCGTTTCAGATAGATTTACTGTTAGAGAGACTGACCTTATCTGTTAATGTGTCCTTTTATCATGCAGGCTGCATCAATCGAACTGGTCTGCAGTACAATGCGCCGTCAAATAATTTCCCGGGCGTTTTACGGTTGGTTAGCGTACTGCAGACACTTGTCGACCGTGCGTACTCATCTAAGTGGTTTGGTACATCCCCATATTGTACCTAGAGGTGAGTTTACTCCAATTTCTTTTGTTATATTATTGGCATGGCTTAGTGCAAGGAGGAAAAAGAAACTTTTACTAATGTCAACCACACCTGTATACCTTTCACGGCAGTATTAATAGTATGCATGTTTTGTCTTTGCAATCGTGAGATTTACTTTCTAAAATTATTTTAAAATGCATGTTTAGATAGTTTACAATTGTTTTGACACCTACTTTTTACTAGGCGTACATAACTTTTGAAACCTTTCCTAAAGTTGGCCTTTTAAAAGAGTCTGAAGTTTATTTGACAGTCCTATCGTCACCTTATAAACTCTCTGAATCCAATAACTTGTGTCAGCGTCCAATTCATTAGTACATTGTTTATGACGACGATCTCCTAGTCGATGTTGATATTAGTCAAAGTCTGACCAGAGTTTTTTCGAAGAGTTTCGTCAGGCTAGCTTTTAAGACGAATAATTATATTTTGACATCAATTTACTATGCTGTAATGTTGTTTTTCTGCCCAGTTACAGATACCATTCTTTTATTGGTATACAGTATAAACGGCTCTACTTTTTATTCTGATACCTATATATATTACGTAAAAATCATTAGCATGAAACTTGAGTAAGTTTTTGTGTTCGTGCCAGCCAAAGTTTTGGCACAACATTAATATTTTTTGTTTGTTTGTCCGTTTTCTATGTGTTTCTATCACATTTATCAGATTAAAATGAAACCTTGGTCTGTCGTTATGTGCACACAGGAATGTTTCTGACAATAACTACTGCCTAACTATCTCTGAAGTAATCATACTTTACAAAAAAAGAAGTAAAATAGATATTATACTTTTGACAGACGGCGCAGAGGCTGGTCTCACCGAAGAAATATGGCGGTCCATGATGGATGACGAAGGCGTAGTAACTGATAAGAACGAAGTTTACCGTCTTGTGTACTACGGCGGCATACAACACGACATTCGCCGGGAAGTGTGGCCATACCTGCTGGGTTATTACGAGTTGGTATTTTATTTAAACGTTACAAATTCACACAGTACAGCCTATTAAAATCTACTGCTGAATATTGGCCCCCATATAGATTGCCTCATATGGGGAATTTTGCAATAGTCACCACGTTTGGTAGGTAGGTTGGCAACTGCACTTTTATTAATTTCGATCGTTTTCAGGAATACATATAATTTATCAGGGGGAAAAGCTGAGATATAGACGAGTTTGGACAGTTTGAAGAGATATAAATTTTAGGGAAATATCACTTGGACCATGAACACGTTTGTCAAATACCAATTTTTCATTATTTATATAGTAGAGGCTTATAACACACATATATTTGATACTAAATAAATACACAGCTTGATAAAATACAAAAAATCTTTGAATAAATATTTTTACAGGTTCGGTTCAACAGCAGAACAGCGTAGTTCACAAGACTCTGCATGCCGACGCCAGTATGAAACAACGATGTCTGAGTGGTTGTGTGTTGAGGCTATCGTCAGGCAGCGAGACCGCGAGGCAACGGCTGCATCCATTGCACGGCTGACTGAAGCCGCAGGAAAGTCGAAACCGACTGATGTTGTGGAATCTGGCGAGGTAAAAATTAAGATACTATAACCGACTCATTTCTAAATATTTTCTTAAAAATATGTAACCCTTAAAATTCTCCTGTATGCCATGCAATTAGCGCTTTCTTCATTTCTGATAAATTTTCGATATTTTATGACTTTAAATTTATTGATTACAGGTCTTTGAAGATGACTGTAGCGTTATATCAGACAATCCACCAATTGTTTCACCTGAACCGTGTGAAAAAGAACAACTGAAACCAGAAAATAAGCCAGTGTTATCCCGAGCACCGAGCATAGATGAGGTTGATAATATCGAGTTGGATTCAGAGGAAAAAGAAACTGATGAATCAAAAGTTAACGGAGAGACTGAGACGGGTGATAGTAAGGATCATGTAGATATAGACAGTCTTACTGATATAGATGACGACGAAGTGTATATTAAAAGTGTTGTAGAAAACCCTGATATGAGAAGAGAAAGCATAGCTGAAATCAAAAGATTAGCTGAAGGTATTGTCCAGAAAGGCGACGGTAGAAAATTGTTGTGTAGTGTTGACAGCGCCAATATGATATTAAATGGTAACGACTTTAAGTCTTCAATTGATGAAAATGAAAAGAACCCTCCACAACAACATACAAGTGTGATAATCACAAACCCTTCTGTAGACTTGGCTGCTTCTGGATCACCAGCTTCTGGGGGAACAACAGGTTAACATTTTTACTTATAATTCTTTTAATGACTTTCTAATAATATAATGTTGTGTCCAATATTTGACTACCTCAAAATTTCATACAACTCTGTGTATTAACATTAATGATCTGATTTTTATATTACATACTTAACTTAATAAAACAATAACTTAGATATTTGTAAGTTACACATTTACTTTAAAGAGACAAATTATTATAGCGAATGTCAGTCCATCACGGAGCCCACTAGGCGTTGTCCGCGAAGAATCTCAATCAGCAGGAGCATCTTTTGATACTCTAGAACCTAGTATAGATGCAAGACCAGAAAATAGATCAAATTGCGTGTCACCTGCTAGTTCTAACGGCGGAGTTTATTCTGTAAGTACAAGTCACATCAGAGATAAAAATTAAAGTCGTTAAATAAGAACTAAAGTCGCAAAGTTTGACAGAAAAATTACAAATATAATTTTTATAACAATTTTTCAGAACGAGTTAGTTGAGAACTTTGCACTGAATTTGCACAGGATAGAGAAAGATGTGCTGAGATGCGATAGAAACTATCCATTTTTCACTGACGAGAATTTGGACAAATTAAGAAACATTATGTGCACGTAAGTTATTTTATTTAGTGACTTCTGAATGACCGTTTAGAATTTTATCTGTATTTCTTATCGATTAATTAATTCCCTACATCCTGTCAAAGTCCTCATAACATAGGGCTCCCTATAGGTTGCTACACTGCTGGATAATAATCTCCTGAATTTTCTCTATCCCTCTTACGACACCGAAGGGACGATATGGGGTAGAGGATATTCTTACACCGCTACTACATGGCTTAATAAAATTTTAATCTTTTTGGAATGCTCTTCACACATAGATAAATATACGTTGTTTTTCTAGACTTATTAAGAAGTGCATACGATTCAAAAAAGCTAGAAAAGTAGAATAAAAATATAAACTGTAACCATATTAAACCCGTTTTAAACTACTAGCCGCCTTTACACATGCGCTCTTTAATGCGTGAAAACGGCTTCTTTCGCAAAACAGCGGGTAAGATATTCAAATCTGCGTGCATGTTGTTCTTTAAATGATAGCAAAAGAGATTTGGATACGAGAATTTACGCGCGCGCGCCGCCAGCTCGTGCATCGCACTGGTTCCGTGGTATTTCATGGATATTTAAGAGATGGCGCTGATTTATTCTATGCTTTAACCGTGAAAATTTTTTGTTCGCATTGTCGTTCGCTATATCTTGTCACTTATATCGATGATTAAATATATCATCGAGTTAGAGCATGTTTCCGTGGTGGTAGGACTCATGTCTATGAGTTCCGAGTCCATCTGGGTATATACCATCCCCTTTCTTATTTCTGCTGCCAAATAGTGTTTGCACTGCTGTGTTCAGGTTTGAAGGGTATATATCCAAAGACACAAATTTAATTTTTCCACTCCTACCTTCAGAAAAGAGCTTACTCCTTTCTAAAGGGCCGGCAACGCACTTGCAATTCCCCTGGTGTTGCGGTTGATCATGGGCGGCGGTAGTCACTTAACATCAGGTGAGCCGCATGCTCGTTTGCCCCCTCTTCTATAAAAAAAATACAGAGCTAGTACAGGCCGTGAGATATTCTACCTTAGTCCTCAAAGTTGACAACTCAGCTTTCTTTGTTTGAAGTTGACTGGAGGTGTCCATTGACTGTAGTAAGCACTCACTATAGACTGAAGCCTGTTTGTAACTTCAGTTTTATTTTTAAAATGCAGTAGAAATCGATGCGTGATAGTACGTACCTAATGCGTTTTCATCTGTTCTTCAGATACGTGTGGGAGCACCTAGATATGGGCTACATGCAGGGCATGTGTGACCTGGCGGCGCCATTGTTGGTGATGATGCACGAGGAGGCGGTCGCGCATGCGCTCTTCGCTCGGCTTATGGAACGTGCAAAGGATAACTTTCCTTCTGGACAGGCAATGGACGCGCACTTTGCAGACATGAGGTTTGTGCTAGATTTATTATTTAGGTTTACAGAGGGTATACATATCAATCCACACGGGTTATAAGTGCTGACTCCACAAGCGCAGTGAAAGATTTCAGGTCTGCTCGGTCTTAAGAGGTGGAGTATAGTGGCTACAGAAGTGGGTTTCCCTAGCAGAGAGTAGGGAGAGCTGAACATCTTTACAACGATACATCTCACCCCACGTAATCCTCCACCGCCACAACAGCGTTACAGCTCTGTCACAGTCGAAAAGGATACGCAAAAAATGCGTCGCCATACCATCACTCATCTTCTGTGACTTCGCTTTGGCTGCAGAGGCCAGAGGGCAGGGTATACCACATACTCCTTCTCACAGTCCACAACTTGCATCCTAAATTGTTCATCATCGTTAAGCCCATTCAGAATGAACCTTTAGTCCAGCCTTTCATCACAAGCCAGCCACGTAGGCTCTTCGTAGCTGTACAGTGGGTGACCAAACTACGGTTACTAAGTATTGTTTGTTCGAAAGAGGACAATCCTCCTGTGAAAACACGTGCGAAAACATCATCAAGCTTAGCAGGCGGATTCACGATTGCAGTACCCGACATTTCACACATTTGACACTGCTGCCTGCCGCTGGTCTGGGTAGTTTACGGTTAGTGCAAACGAGATGGTTCCACTGCCATCTAGAACTACTATAACTGCCATAAGATTTTTCTGATATTTCCTATTCACACCTTTCACGACACTCACCGGTTGAAATGGAGGGTGAGGTAGATTCTCTTACGCCACCACCACATAGTGCACGAAAAAGAGCCGCATTTAGCTGCTCTTTCACGCTGGTATTTTGCATGGTTCATCCAACCCAGTCATGTTACTACCATAAAATGGCTGAATCAGCTTTCTAACATAAATGTGTTTATTATTTATTTTGTAATAGTTAACTACTTACTTTTAAAATAACTTGAATACTTGAAATGATTTTTAAAGTTTTCCTAAATAGCAATGTTAAAGCTTTAGATTTGCATTAATATAGTTTTAACGTAGTTGTCATTATCAGTGTAAGATTAGTTTAAAAGCATGCCAATAATGTCAATCGCACTTTTTATATGCAGATTAGTGCGAAGCTTTTGGTGATACAATTTAGACATCAGTCATTGATCAATCCGTAATCGGTACCTTATTGATGATTGCTTCGTTGCAGATTCATACAAAATAAATATAAAACTCTTCTTCAGATCTTTAATACAAATATTGGACTGTGAGCTGTACGAGTTGATGCACGCGCACGGTGACTACACTCACTTCTACTTCTGCTACCGATGGTTCTTGCTGGACTTCAAACGAGAACTGCTCTACCAAGACGTGAGAAAATTTATTATTAATTTAGTTTCTTTGTAAATTTTCATGAGCTTATAGGGTAGTCCGTGTTTTATTTGGGCATTTTAAAACGATATCATATCAAAACTCAAATTAAATAAAATTACTAAACAAGAAATTTTTGAATGAAATCTGCGACTGTTAGAACTGTTTTTATCAACTTGAAATAAGTTAATAAAAGAGATCCATTTACATATTAAGGATTGTAATAGGTACATTGATTGTGAACCAGAAGTACACCTTTATATAACAATAATGGCTACCAATAAATTCTTGTTAGTTTTTTGGATCTTTTTGGATATTGGTCCATAAATAATAATTAAAAAGCTGAAGGTACTTCCGGTGAACACTGACATCGGGACACCTCAGTCACTCGTTACCATGGGTGCTAAAAAGCACCCGAAACCACAGGTTTGTGAATAGTTGCCGAAACGTCGGAAATTAAAAATAAAATAAATTAAACGTGATAAAAGTAGTTTAGTCAATGTGTAGTGTTCGCATAAATAATGGGTTTTTCAACAAGAACTTTGGTTTTCAATTGAGGCAACACCAACAACATGACAGTTTTGACATTTAGATTTTTGACCTAATCGTAGTAGATGATTTGGCAATTGCTACAATGAATTCAATTTCGCCCGAAAATCGCATTAAAATAATTAAAATCCACTATGAAAATGGCGGTTCTGTTAAAGTTACGTTTCGTAAAATTCGTGATAATTTCGGACAACATAATCGTCCTTCTGAGACCGCTATTAAGAATTTGGTCGCTAAATTTGAATCGACAGGCTCGGTACAAAATGTGCCAACACCAACGCGTGTTCAACCGGGTCGTTCAACCGAAAACATCGCAGCCGTGAGCCACAGTGTTGAAGAAGATCCAAATTTGTCAATTCCTCGACGTTCTCAACAATTGGGGTTATCCAAAACCACCATTCACATCGCCGTAGATTCGCTCAATTCATTCAGGAAAAGCCCGCTGGTTTTTCTGAAAAAATTATTTTTTCAGACGAAGCCCATTTTCACTTGTCAGGGTACGTCAACAAGCAAAATTGCCGCATTCGGGCTTCTGAAAATCCTAAAGCGATTATTGAGAAGCCTTTGCATGCTCAACGTGTCACTGTATGGTGCGCTATGTGGTCTGGAGGCGTGATTTGGCCGTTTTTTTTTCGAAGATGAGGCTGGAAATGCGGTAACGGTCAATGGATCACGCTATCGCGAGTAACATCTCAATTTTGGCCTATTATTGATGACATCGATATCACAAACATGTGGTTTCAAAAGGACGGTGCCACATGTCACACAGCCAACGAAACGATCAATTTATTGCAAACCAAATTTCCCGATCGCATAATTTCACGAAATTCAGCTGTTAAATGGCCAGCCAGATCGTGTCATTTAACACCACTGGATTATTTTTTGTGGGGCTATGTTAAGGACAGAGTCTATACGGAGCCAATCGAATCGATCGCGGCCTTAAAACTCAAAATCCGTGACGTGATTAACGAAATAGACCCGCCATTTTGCCAAAAAGTGATTAAAAACTTTGATGAAAGAATCGACATCTGTCAGCGTGGTCGTGGAGGACATTTGCCAGATATCATTTTTCATTCATAATTGCCAAACTTTTCTCTTCGTAATACAATAACAATTTGAATCATCTTCATCTAAACTCTTTGTTTTATTTTGTTTTAGAAAACAAAGTTCTTGTTGAAAAACCCAATATAAGAAATCATTAAGTATATAGGTATATGTTTTTTACTGTTTAATAGGTATTTTCGGCGTGGGAGTTGATATGGGCAGCAAGGTATGTCGCTTCGGAACATATGGTGCTTTTCATAGCGCTGGCGCTGCTCGAGACCTATCGCGACGTCATACTCGCGAACACAATGGACTTCACTGACATCATCAAATTCTTCAATGGTAAGTGATTAATTTTAAAATCTGAAATTAAAAATGACGCCAGGTTTTAACTCTGTTAAAGTAACATTAAATAAATATGACTTTAGGTGGTATTTTCTAAGAAACATTTTGAAGTTTTTTGATCCCTACAAGTTTCAAAGTGAAAGTTCATCTTGATGAGAGTGGCTTCATTATTAAAATATCGATCACTTTTGAAAGTTTTCATTTTAATAACATCTTCCTTCGTTATCATGAGCCTCACTCATTTTAGAATGGTTGACCTTAACCAGATTCCATCTTAACTTAGCAGGCGGATTGACGCTTGCAGTACTGGACGTCTCGCCATTCTACCCGGCGCCGGTCTAGATATTTTGATATTTTACGTCTGACCTAAATGATGTGGTACCGCCATTTTATCAGAAGCCATAGTTTTTTTTACATTGTCGCTAGTCACCTCTTATAGGACTCTCAGGCGACGAAATGGTGTTGGAATATCTTACACCAGACCCACACGACTAGATTATAATCATCATAATCTTAAGAAGTCCACTGCTGGACCTAGGCCTTCAGGAAATTTAGAGGATTTACTATAATCGCTAAGCTTGATATGTCAATTGGTGACCATAGTACCAGAATATCAACACATTAGTACCTACTGCTTCTGGTAAAGTGGTGACGTAATTGAATCTACCGACTCGTAACAGACGATAGAGGGAAATGAATCAGGCGATGGAGAGCAGCATCTTTCTGACAAGAACACAAAAAAAATGTGATTAGAAGTGCCTCTTCCAAGCGTGGAAACTGTTAAAAATACGGAGGATATTTAAAATAGAATGACGCGAATATGCAATTTTACACCGTTTCGCTCAGTTGAATATTTTAAATAATAAAAAAATATATATGTTTGTTATATGTTTATTTATTGCCGTTACAGAAATGGCGGAACGTCACGACGCTTCCGCCGTGCTGTCTCTCGCGAGGGATCTCGTTCTACAAGTTCAAACTTTAATAGAGAATAAATAAACATTTTATCCAGATATATTTACTTAAAATTGATGTTTAATTATGGCAATGATCAATGTTTTAAAGATCATCGAATAAAATGTAGCTAGTTATATTCGAAATATAAATAAAGATATAAATTAGAATGTCTGATATTAGATTTGTATAGAGATTAGGTAATCGAAATGTTTTAATATTGTTTTCCCTACTATTTAGTGGATTAAATTAATTAGAATGAAAATAATAATGATAAGGGCAAACGATTTCAAGACACGTGCAAAGTACAGATAAATATTATCTCATACATAATATAATTTATTTTACGTCTGTGCTCAAACATAAACTTTTAAATATTATGTAACAAGTACGCATCCGACATCCGTCATTTTTCTACATATTATAATTATTAACCAATAGTGATCCGCAGCGGCTTCGTACGGATGATTTCTGGATATCGACAACAGCGCCATCTAGTGGCCTATTCCAACACACATTTCGGTTTGATGGTTTCAAAGTCTTTAAGTCTTTAACAGACATAGGTAGAAACATTTTTTGTGTTTTGTACTGCTGACCTTTTTTACCGTCTGGAAAAAATTGGCTGTTACATGTGAACGGAGTAGAAGCCTATGGCACTGATATTTTACAAAAAATATTAACGAAAATTTTGAATTAAACGTTTAAGAAATATTTTAACACTTACTTTGCCCTTTGCCCTTGAGCCTGTAATCCTGTGAAGTGACAAGTTCAAAGATACCTACAAAATTTATTGTTTTATTGCCGTTCGTAAAGTAGGGTGGATATGATTTGAATTTCGATAGATTTTAATTAATAATTTATTTAATACAAAATGTTTGTTTTTATTTTTTTTTCTAAAATATCAGTGCCTTAGGCTTCTACTTCGTTAAAATGTTACCCCCTATTTTTTCCAGTCAGTATAAAAAGCTCATCCAGTAAAGATATACTTACAAATCGCATCAATGCTAATCTTGCGTAATGGCACTTATTTAATATTAAATCAAAATGGGAATTGCTTTTCACATTGTAGTTTTAATTATTACTTACTTTAGGTATGAATTTAGCTGTTATGACCAAAGACTTCTGTGTATATTACTAGATCGGCAATTCAAAACAAAAATCGGGGTGTAGCTGTGTCGTTAGTACTATCAAAATTATTTTTTGATGTCGGCTGGTTTTGATGGTGTTGGTGCTGATAGCCTTTTGACTTATACAGCTTCACCGATCTCAGGGCTCACGGCCTGAGGGCTGCAAGCTTAAATATGTGGTGTCATTAACACGGCAGCGTGTTTGATGTGAATATTTAATATATGCGCGATTTTGAGGTCGTTTCGGAAACGACCGCAAAATGGCGGCGCGCCAAAGAGTCCGTCTAGTAAGTCTAATAGCATACATAGAAGTAGAAGTATTTGGTTATAATAGTTAACGTAAATTCTAGCCGTATACATAGAAATATTTGATTATAATAGTTAACGTAATATATAGGGTTATTTTTCGAAGAGTAGCCAAATTTTTCTTTTTTTAAAGTTCAAATATATAACTAATGATATACAGTTTAGAAAATACGAGTAAATAAGGCTTCTACTTTTATTTGAAATTATCCCAAATTGAATGAGATTTATGAGCTTCAACGTTTTTGTCCCCTGATTGAACCTACCAATGTGTGCGTGCGCAGTAAAATCAGTTAAAATAATTCATTACCACGCCTTTTGAATTTAAAAGGTAAAATGGACAAAATGTTGAAGTTTTTTTATTAATTTTTCTTCACTATTTGCCACCGTTTATATTACCTATCATAAAGCTTCTCTACAAATTTGGCTCGTTATTGTAAAATAACCCTCTATAATGATTTCTTATATTTACGCGAACACTATATATTGATTAAAACTACTTTTACGGATTTTATCGCGTTTTATTTATATTAATTTTAATACCCGACGTTTCGGGTGCTTTCCAGCACCCATGGTCACGAGGGACTGAGGTGACTGACGTCCCGATGTCAAAGTTAACCCGGAGTACCTTCAGCTTTTTAATTATTATCTTTGGTCCGATCTACGCAGAATGAACTAACTGTATTTTGAAGTCTTGCGGTATGCTTTAGTAATTATAAAAATCCCAAGCAGGTGGTAGTACCCAGCCTCCTTCTCTATTGAAATTAGGATGTTTTTTAATTTCAATAGCCTCACGTATCATCCTTGGTAGGAATCGATGTTCTTTCGCGAGGATTTGTGGTCTATCAAATCTGATGTAATGGTTGGGGCCATCTAGAATATGATCGCAAACTGCAGACTTCCCGGAACGTTGATGCTTCACGTCAGCTATGTGTTCTTTTACGCGGGTTCTAATTGATCTCTTTGTTTGCCCTATATATGAGAGACCACAATCACAATCAAGCTTGTACACTCCTGCATCTTGTAGAATGTCCGAAACGTCGGGTATTAAAATTAATATAAATAAAACGCGATAAAATCCGTAAAAGTAGTTTTAATCAATAACCCTCTATATTTTATTCGTGACATAGAATTTCATTTTATTTATTGAACTTGAATAAACTCACAAAGCTACGCTAAAAAAGTAAATTTAATTTTTCTGATAGCATTTTTTTTAAGCAGCAATTTTTGGGGCAACTACAGCAATTTATAAAACGTCTCGTTTCTTCAAAATTAGTAGCAGTATAATTATTTTTTCGAAGACCACAAGGCCCTTAAGTGATGTGAAGCCCAAGGGCAGTTGGACAATTTTGTCTTAATGTTATTCCGGTCCTAATTGTCGTACCATGTTTGTTCAGCCCGCGTAAGTACTGAACTTAGTAATAGGGTCCTGTTGGTTACACTTCCGGTAGGGAACTCCAAAACCCGTAAGTAGTTCAGATAAAACGTATTTAACTACGTTTCAAAAACTATGCAATTCAAGCTTGGTTGTCTCGAACAAATTGCATCAATAGACGTCTCAAAACCAATCACCAATAGATAATCACGACATGGTCACAACAAGACCAGTTTAAATCTAGACTGCTTTATACTTATGTTTTTTTTTACTTACTATCTAGTTATATTTTTGGTAGAACACGTTTATGTAGGACGCTTGAAAATTACGAGAAAAATGGTTGTCAACAAAATTTACTGATGCCGCTATATGGGTCGCAAAAGACTTAATTTTTTTTCTCCTACTAGCTAACCTTAAAAAACCACTTACTGAATTACTGAGGCACTTAAAATATTCATTAGTAATGTCCCGATTAGCCTCAGTTTTCTCGTAAAATTACCTACTTTGTAATGCATAATATGTATTAATTAAGTTATGTATCAAACTAAAAGACAAATTTTTTGAAAAGTATTTATAGTCTACATTTTCATATCTTAAGCGGCTGACCTGACTAGAAGTAAAATTTTATAAATTTATATGTATAATATACATTTTATGTGGTAATGAATTATGTACCTATTTATTCAAATGAAATATTTTAATACTATTTTGTAAAAATGTTATTTAACTAAACAACATCTACATATATTTTATCAATCTATTTACATTTTTCTATTTTCTACTTATAATTGTTATATGTTACTTATAACTTATAACTTTGTTTTTCATATCTCACGTCTGACTTCCAATAAGTACTTCAAAATTGATAAGTGGATATGAGTACATACAAAAATAATATAATATTACTTTGTAGTAATCATCAATCTCGCCGGATGACGCTTTTTTAATATGACATTTTCTAATTTGAAATTATGGTTGTTTGATTTTTGATTTTTTTTTTGCGCCCGAAGCAAATATGGGCAACCCTCCGGAAAGCGGGGGAGGGAGGCGGTGAATGCTCATAGCATACCACGCAGCCGGCTGCGTGGTTATGTGGAGACTTTTACCCACTAAACACCGCCTTTATGGATTGGCTTACCGATCTGACGAGAGATCTCTAAGCCGTATACGAACGCGACCCTCCTTGGCAGAAAGGAGGGCGCATGCAGAAAGGAGGGCGCAAGGATTTTTGATAGTCATAAACATTTTCAAATTAGACCAAAATCAATCGGGAAGATTTGTAATCTATATACTTACTCTTTTTTTGTCATAAAATAATCAACTGGCTTTTGCGACTTCCAAGCTCAAAGAAGTAAATTGAAACAGCGAGTTAAGACTTAGGAACACTATCATTTTTATCGCTTATAACATAAAAGTTAAGAATTTCTTAAATATTTCGTAAATTACATATATGTTAAATTTCAACCTTAATTGTATATTTATTGGAGCGGAGCTCCTATGGCGCAAGAAAACGATTCTTTGAAATCTATCCTCCGTAACCCGTAGGCCAATTTACATAATTTTTTCGGCTATATTTGTAGCTCAACGCAGACAAAGTTTGTAAACAATAAAAATCTGAATTTGATTTTTTTCTTTTACTATCTAATCAATTCGCTAATTTACATCTGCGCAATGTCACACTATTTGACTGAATCTTATGTTGAATAATCTTAAGTTGAATAGAGATAGTTAAGACTTTAGACTTTTACTCCTCTCCGTTTATGATGCTAGCAAAAGGTTTGACGTTTATACCTGCATCAGTCCTAGTTTATAATTTATGTTTAAGGGCCTTAGTGCTTTTAGAATTTTCTCCCAATCAACTCTGATATTAAGTACTTCTGTGACAAAGTATTTAAATGATTAAACTTCTATATACTATCTTCTATTTCTTCACCTATTATAAGTCTATGTAATAAGTAGTGATGTAGCCCTAAATGATAGTCTTTGAAAATAATACATACATGTAATTTTCTCCCCTTCCGTGCCTTGTAATATTCCAATGGAATTGTTTGGTCATTGTGAATAATATAGGTTTGGTCTTAGTTTCTAGATTATATTCTGAAAATCGAACAATGAGGGAATCCATGTTTTTCTGCCATCAGGGCTGCGCTATTTAGAATTGAGGTGATATATTTGACAGATTTAATAGCGGGGGAAGGTAATTTGTTAGAAAAGTATAACGGTTAATGTTTCTATCTGAA